GTTCATCATATGAGGAAATGAGCTTGACAAAATGGTCCTTGAGACTAATACCAGTGCCAGCAACAAAGGCAGGAAAGCGAGTGTCATTGTTAAAATCACTGGATACAACCTGATTCTCTGTGTTGCCCAAGATGCTCTTCAAGAGTCCTTGGATGTTTGTGTTGCCAGTTTCTTGATATCATCATATTTGGCAGATTTCTCCAGGCAGCAGGTTAGATTCACAACAAATATGTTGGAAGTAGGAACATGGAAGGTCCTGCCTGTGAGCTTCTCATTCAGCTCAAAGAATGACTTTGCCCACAGCCTTAGAGGCATCGGTGGAGGCAGATGATGTTTTGGGTAATGGTGTACGCATCATGCCAGAAATTGCCAGAGGGGTCATCTACAAAATGTTTTCTGGGTATAGTAATGGCATGACTGTAGTCATGAGTCCTTCTGCAATGCCAAACTTGTCAATGACCTTGACCAGGGGGGTCAAGCAGTTGGTAGTGCAGATAATACTACTGACAATTATAAGGGAATTATCCTATTTCTCATGGTTTGCTCCCATCAGGAACACAGGGGAATTAGCAGAAGGTGCAGAGACAATGACACACTTTGCTCCACCCTTCAAGTGAGCACCAGCTTTTTCCATACTGGTAAAGACATCAGTGGACTCTACTATATACTGGGCTCCAGCATTTCATCACTTAATATTGGCAGTTATATTCCTGGAGATAGTAATGGCTTTTCCAATGATTACCAGTTTCACTCTGCCTTGACAGTACCCTTGAACTTTCCATGAGTGGAATCACATTGGAACATATGAACCCTGTAGCTGAGGTCCCTGATGGCCACAATGTCCATTCTGCCTGAGGTGAATAAAGCTCTGGTTACTAGTTGCCCAATGAAGCTGAATCCATTGATTCTGACCTTCACCATCTTCTCTCAGGGATGTGTCTATAGTAGCAGATCTTGGTACTGAGTTTTGGAGAAGAGCTGAGAGCCTCAACCAATTCTCCTATGAAAACCTATAACAATCTGGCTTCTATCTACCAAAAGTGAGAGTCTTCCAGAATTCACCAATTACTCCGAAATCTTCCAAAGTCTTTTGCTTCCATTTCATTTGACTTTTCTATAGTAACTAACGCTAGTTCTTGAGTAGTCCTTCCCTGGTTCTTCCTCCTTTTTCTCCCTCTTAAATGTAGCTGTTTTGCTGGTAAACTCTCCATTCTATTTTAATTCAATAAACAATATCTCTTGTATCTGTGTCCTTTTCATTTTCATGGCAACTACTCTTGTTCTGGCCCTCACTGCCTTTCATTAGGATTACTGCAAAGTTACTTCACTTTCAGCAGAATCCAACCTCTCAGCTCTTCTATCTACTTGACACAATATTGCCAGATTAATCTTCCTATAGCAGCACACTTCCAATCTCTTGTCCATAATGTTTCCCCAGTGTCTACCAATTAAAGGTCCAAACTCTTGAATACAGTATTCAAGGTCTTCTAAAATAAGCTTCCAGTTTTTTTTTTAAAGGCCTCATTTCCTACAACGTCTTTAAACATACACATAAACTCCAGCTAAGCTGCATTATTCATTTTACCCTAAACACATCTTATGTATTCCCCACTTCTGCCATGGTATCACCTCCCTGATGTCATGGTCCTCTTAGAGAAGAAGGGACAAACACCACCACCACCACCACCACCACCTTTGTTCATATTGTTTTTTCTGCCTGGAATGCCCTCCCTGACTGCATCTATCTAAATCCTATTTGTATTCGAAGTCCAGCTTCCATACTGCTTCTTACATGAAAACCTTCCTCTGATCTCCCTAATAGTAAAAGATCTCTTCTTTCTCTAAATCTCCAGTGCACTTGGTTTATATCTCTCATGCTACTTTGTACCATAGGCATTTGTCTACTAGCAAAATGCCTTGCTTTATCTTTTCAAAAATGAATCTCCTAGTTGATGACTCTCCTTTATGTGCCAGCTTCTCTAAACATTTGCTAATCCCCTTTTCATAAGGAAGATTAATCTGGGCAGCATGGCAGGCATTCCTGATTTCATCTTCTCCTGTCTCCTCTGTGATCTGACTCCATCAATCATTCTCTTCCTCCTTCTCTCTCTTCTCCCCTCCCTGACTCTTATCCTTTTCCTGAGTTCTTCTCTCTCTTCCCTATAAATGTTTTTTTTTTCCTATCCTAAAAAAGTCTTTCCTTTACCCTACTGTGATATCCCATGCAATGAAGGTATCATCTTTATTCCCACTGCTGATAAACTTCTAGAAAAAGCAGACTATGCTTGCTGCCCCTACTTCCTCATTACTTTACCATCCTTCAATGAAATCTGGCTGCTGCATCTATGACAAGAGAAACCACCCTCTCTGAGATCAGTAATGACCCCCTTATCACCATATCTATTGGTCTTCTTTCTACTCTCATCTTTGGCTTCTCTCTTTACAGTAATAATAGCTAACATTCATACAGCATTTACAATGTGCCAGGCATGCTAAGCCCTTTACAATTATTACCTCATTTGACTCTCACAACAACCCTGGAAAATAGATGCTATTATCTTCATTTCACAGATGAAGAAATTGAGGCAAATAGAAGATAAATGACTTTCTCAGGGTCACAAAGCTAGTTAGTGCCTGAGGCTATATTTGAACTCCAGTTTTACTCTACAGCACTCTACACACAGCTTTGTGATATCTGGGTGTCCCCAGTATCTTAACTATGAACTATTCCTTTATTGAAATTCCTCCCCTTTTTCTTCCATCCTTATGCTTCTTCGTTCTTCTACTTTTTCCGTTCATTTCTTCTGTTATTTGGGGGGGGGAGAGAGAGGCTGGTGCCACTTTAATCTATTTCTGCTCCTAAAATATAAATATTTCCCATGGTTCTGTCTTAAGACACTCTTCTCTCTTCATCCTCATCTCTCACTTGGTGATCTTACCCACTCCCATGGTTTCAATTATCTATGCACATAAACACACAGACTTAACAGACGTATCTTCACCCCACCAATCTCTTTGCTACGCCTTAGTCCCTAATTTCAAAATGCCTGCTAGATATTCTTCCAGAACCTCAAACTTAACTTGTCTAAAATGTAACTTTATCAAAGTTCTTGGTTTACAACCCAGACCTATGATTTGCTAACTGTGTGATCTTGGCTGAATCTTTAATCTCTCTTGGTCTCAGTATCCTCATCTGTATAACAGGGATAATAATAACCCTGTCTCCTAGGACTATTGTTAAGGATAAAATGATATATTGGTAAAGTGCTTTAAAAACCTTAAAGTACTATATACATGCTAGATATTACTATGGGGAGGAGAAGGAATGCAGAGTACTCACATCTTATTTACCAAGTTGCCAATACACTTATCATTGGGAAATCTCGTCATCTTGCAAAATCCAATCAGCCTAGTTACTCACACCTCATCTGCACCCTCTGCCTTTTTGAATGGAGGGCAGAGACATAAACTCCTCCATTTAAGACAGGAAGAGATCTCATTTTGCAGTCCATCTGCATTTATTTTGTATTTCTTTGACTTTTCTCTACCATGCCTGGGCACTTTCACTTTTTCTCTCTCCTTCCCCCACTCCCTATTCTGATTTTCTTTTTCTTTTTAATTTTTAAAAATTTATTTATCTTTCGTTTTAAACATTCACTTTTATAAGATTTTGAGCTCTAAAATTTTCCCTCTCTCTCCCCTCCCCCTCCCCCAGGTGGCATGCAATCTAATACAGTCAGCTTTCTTTTGTGTGCCTTCCCCCGTGAGTCTGTAAGGTCCTAAAAGGCAGGAACTATCTTTTTTTTTTTCTTTTCCAGATTTGTATCCTAAATGCCTGGCACGAAATAGGCTGTCAATAAATGATTATTGATTATGGATTATTGGGAAATGTAAGTGATGTGATATCAAAATTTTATTAAAAATACCAAAAGGAAAGAAGGAAACAAGCATTTATTAAGTGTGCCTACTATATGCCAGGCACTGTACTAAAAGCTTTATAGATATTATTTCATTTTATCCTCAAAACAATCCTGGGAGGTAGGTGCTATTATTAGGTGTAGGTGCCATTTTACAGCTGAAGAAACTGAGGTAGGCAGAGGTTAAGTGATTTGCCCAAGGCACATACCTAAGCTAGTGTCTGTTGTTACATCTGAAACTCAGGTCAATCTGGCTCCCAACCCAAAAGCTCCAACAGTGTGATTTTTCCTTACTCTATCTTAACTCCCAGACAAAGGAAAGAGAATTGTGAAAAGTGAAACTTCCACGGAGTTTTCCCTGACCCAGGAGTTCTTCTTAATTTGGGGGTCTGGGAACTTGGGTTTAAAAAAATATAGACAGACTTCACATGCATACTTGTTATTACATTGCTTGCTTTCACTATGGGTGGGATAGGGCCTGGAGGGAATGACAATTTGGAACTCAAAATTTAAAAAAAATGAATGTTAAAAATAAATAAGACAAAATGTATCTTGGTAACTTTCAATATGATTGATTTCTTTTGTAATCATGCATTTAAAAACACTATTCTGAGGTTTCGGCAGCTGCCAAAAAAGGTCCATGACACCAAAAAAAGTGAAGATTCCCAGTTCTAACCCAAGACGTAAGGAAAAAGCTAACTTCAAGACGGTCACTGAGAAATAACGAAGTTCACTAAAACAATGAACAGACTGCTACCAATGGAAAGCGCTGAAGAAGGCGGGCCCGGGGGATTTAAAGGAAACCCATCAGCTGCGAGGTGACGTCATCACCTTCCCTAAACGCGACCCTTTTACTTTACCCGGGGACCAGGTGCTGCCCCTTCCTCGCATCCAGACCGCAGCGGCGGTGACGGAGAAAGCGCTACCTCGGGTGGGTCGAAGGGCGGCACTTCCACCACACGGCAACGGAGCACCACAGCTGAACGGCGCCCGGGGAGAGCCGGGCTTTAAATCCTCCGCTACGCTCTCCGCCCCCGGCCGTATAGCCGGACAGAGTCCGCTCGGGGGCTCTGAGCCACCCACCTGCCAGCCCAGCTCGGCACCTCCAGCTTCTGATCCGACTCCCGCTCCGGCCCCGGACCCTTGTGAACTCCAGAGAAGCCCCGGCAGCAGCCACCTGACAGTTCAAACTGCTAGGCAGAGTTAAGGACGATCCTCCTGGTTGGCTCTGAGCTTTAAGTAAAATGTCGTCGGATTGGTCGGTTTGTTCAGGGGCGGTGCCTTCTCCCGTACTTTTTAACTCTTGGCCCGGCCTGAACCAATAAGGAAAGGAGGTGCGGACGCGACGGGGCGGGGTTTCGGAGTTCCCTGATCCCGAGCGTTACTAAGGAAGCTCTGAAGGGTCTTAAACGAATCTGGAGTGACCTCACTGTTGGGCATGCCCAGTTTAGTTCTTTCTTTCTTTTTTTGTTTTTTTTTTTAGGTTATACATTTGTAGTCATACGAAACATATTTCTACATTAGTCATGTGAATGAAAACATAAGGCAAAAAAACTCAAGAAAATTTTTTTTAAAAAGTATGCTTCAATCTGTATCGAACAACATCATCAGTTCTTTCTCTGGGGATGGGTAGCATTTTTCATCCTAAGGCCTTCAGAGTTGTATTGGATCATTGTATTGCTGAGAATAGCTAAGTCATTCACACCTTCTTACAATATTGCTGTTACTTTGTACACAGTACATTTCATTTTCATCAGCTCGTGAAGTCTTTCCAGGTTTTTCTGAGAGCATCCTGCTCATCATTTCTTATAGCACAATAGTATTCCGTCATAATTGCATACCATAATTTGTTCTGCCATTCCCCAGTTAATGAGCATCCCCCCAGTTTCCAACTCCCAATCACCAGAAAGGAGCTGCTATAAACACCTCCATACATATAGATCTTTTTCCTCTTTTTTTTTTTTTTTAAATCTCTTTTGGGATACAGACCTAGTAGTGCCACGGCTAGGTCAAATGTGTGGTTCTACAGCCCTTTGGGCATAGCTCCAAATTGCTCTAAAGAATGGTTGAATCAGTTTACATCTCCACTGACAGTGCCTTAATGTCTCACTTTTCCCACATCCCCTCCAACATTTGTCGTTGTCCTTTTCTATCCTATTAGCCAATCTAATGAGGTAGCACCTCAGAATTGTTTCAATTTTCATTCCTCCAATCAATAGCCATTTAGAGCACCTTCTCATAAGGTTATAGATAGCTGTGATTACTTCAACTGAAAACTTTATATTTCTTGATCATTCATCAATTGAGGAATGGCTTTTATTTTTATAGATTTAACTCAGATTTCTATATGTTTGAGAAATGAGGCTTTTATCAGAGAAACTTGATTCAAATTTTTTTTCACAGTTGCAATGGCTAAACGTATATTTCCCTCCATCCTACCCTGCCCCCCCCACCTCAATTCTATTCTCTCTCTCTCCTTTAACCCTGTCCCTCCTCAAAAGTGTTTTGCTTCTGACTGATGGGGTGCTTGGGTGCCTGTGCTTGGACCCCACTTCAAGATCATATTTCTCCCTAGCCTCAAAACACTATCCCTGACAGTTTTCTCCCCAGCCCAAAGACCCTATCTCTGGCAATAACTCATGAGTGGGCCCAGTGAGGTAAACTATCTCACTATCTCTCCATTACAAGAACAAGCTGACCTCTTTAGAATTGCCCTTGTCTGAATGAGACTCTATTGTATCAACATAACTATCATATACTGATTCCCACAGTTATCATATATGATCTAGAGGTCAAGTCATAGACATCAACTCCCAAAGCTATCTTGTTACAGGCATAAAAGACCAAAAATACACCCTTCAGGGCCCCTCCCCCCTTCCCCTTTCCAGTAGTAAATAACACCTGTGACTAAGGTTGTATGTTATCACCTAATTAGTGTACTTGGCACACAATCCACTACTTTTCCTATATAAACTTTAGCATCATTCCTGTTAGAAGGCAGAATTCCTTAAGGAGTTCTGTCCACCATTGCAAGTTCCCTAAGGAGCTCTGTTCACTATGACAGAATTCCTTAAGGAGCTCTGCCTGTCATATTAGCATTATAATAAACCTTTGCGAACTTGATTTACAGAATCCTTGAGTCCATGAATTCATTCCAGATGACCCTGTCCTGTACTTCTGTCCTTAAGAGGTCCCTGAACCTCTCAAACAGCATTATGACTACTCCCTCCTCCAATCTACTCTCCTTTCTATCATCTCTGCCCCCTTTTCTTTTCCCCTTCTCCTCCTACTTTCCTGTAGGGTAAGTTAGATTTCTCTACCCAATTGAGTGTGTATGTTATTCCCTCTTTGAACCAATTCTGATGGGAGTAAGGTTCACTCACTCCCCCATCTTCCTCTCCACTGTAAGAGCTTTTTCTTGCCTCCTTTATGTGAGATAATTTACTCCATTCTATCCTTCCTTTTCCCTTTCTCCCAGTGCTTTCCTCTTTCTTACCCCTTAATTTTATTTTTTTATTCTTCTCTTGAGTCTTGTATTTGAGAGTCAAATTTTCTATTAAGCTCTGGTCTTTTCATCAAGAATTCTTGAAAGTCCTCTATTTCACTGAAGGTCCCCCCCCCCCCCCCCCCCCCGAAGCATTATACTCAATTTTGCTGGGTAGGTGATTCTTGGTTGTAACCCTAACTCCTTTGCCTTCCTGAATATCATATTCCAAGTTCTTTAATGTAAAAAAACTGTAAAAGAGCCTCCCGTTCTCTAATGTAGAAGCTGCTAAATCTTGTGTTGTCCTGACTGTGGCTTCCTGGTACTTGAATTGTTTCTTTCTGGCTGCTTGCAATATTTTCTCCTTGACCTGGAGGTCTGAAATTTAGCTATAATATTCCTGAGAGTTTTCATTTTGGGATCTCTTTCAGGAGATGATTGGTAGATTCTTTCAATTTCTACTTTACTTTCTGGTTCTAGAATATTAGGACAGTTTTCCATGATAATTTCTTGAAAGATGATGTCTAGGCCCTTTTTTTTTCCATCATGGCTTTCAGGTAGTCCAATAATTTTAAAATTATCTCTCCTGTATCTATTTTCCATGTCAGTTGTTTTTCCAATGAGACATTTCATGTTGTCTTCTATTTTTTGTTCTTTTGGTCTTGTTTTATTGTTTTTCATTTCTTATAAAGTCATTACCTTCCATTTGCTGCATTCTAATTTTTAAGAAATTATTTTCTTCAGTGGGCTTTTGTACTTTCTTTTTCATTTGTCCAATTCTACTTTTTAAGAAGTTTTTTCTTCAGTGAATTTTTGTGCCTCTTTTTACATTTGGCCAATTCTTCTTTTCAAGGCATTCTTCTCCTCATTGGCTTTTTAAAGTACCTCTTTTACCATTTGGCCTATTCTGTTTTTGAAGATGTTATTTTCTTCAGTATTTTTTTGTGTCTCCTTTACCAAACTGTTGACTCTTTTTTCATGATTTTCTTGCATCACTCTCATTTTTCTTCCCAATTTTTCCTCTATCTCTATTACATGATTTTCAAAATTCTTTTTGAACCCTTCCATGACCAATTCATATTTTTCTAGGAGGCTTTGGATGCAGGAGCTTTGACTTTGTTGTTTTCTTCTGAGTGTGTGTTTTGATCTTTCTTGTCACCATAGTGACTTTCTATAGTCAGATTTTTTCCCCCATTGTTTGCTCATTTTCCCAGCCAATTACTTGATTTTTAACTCTTTGTTAAAGTAAAGCTCTACTTCCAGGGTGGAGGGCATACTGTCCCAAGTGTCAGGGGTTTTGTGCAGCTGTTTTCAGAAATACTTCTAGGGTATAAGTTTTCAGTTCTTCCAAGGTGGTATGATCTAAGAGAGGTGTGTTTACTACTCTCCTGGCCTGTGCTCTGGTCTGTGAGTGACCACAAACATTTTTTCTACCCTGAAACTGTGATGAGGGTTCCTACTCCATTGTGACCACAAGCTCTGGTGTGCTAGTACTGCTCCTTGACCTGGGACTGCCACCCAGAACTGTGACCCAGATCCAAGTATGGGTAAAGCAACAGAGTCATGCCCCAAGCACCAGAAGAGACCCCTATAATCTCCTTCTGACTAGTTGTTCAGCCCCCTTGCTCTCTGTGGGCTGAGAACTCTGGAAGTGGCTGCTGCTGCTGCTGATTCAGTGACTTCCAAGTACCCTGTTTAGCTCTTTATGAGTTTTTTCTCATAAACTCTAGGCTTCAGCATATAAGGCCATTGCTGTCTCTGCCATGGAAATGAGAAGTTTGGGAAAGTGGGGGCCGGGGAACATTCCTGTGGGTTACTTATGACCCAGAGACTTGACTCTTCCTCTCCTGTGGGAGAAAGACCTCTCACACAATGAGTATGATCATGCACAAGACTTACCTCAGTTTCTTCACCTGTCAGATGAGAGAGTTGAACTAGATTTGTGAGTCCCTGGATTTGCGAGAGGACAAGTGGTATTCCAAAGAGCTCTGGCTTTGGGGTCTGGAAGATTGTGCATTGTGCTTAGAGTCAGGAAGATCTGGGTTCAAGCCCAGCTTCAGATAGTTAACTAGCTGTGTAATCCTGGGCAAGGTTTGTGCCTTGGTTTCTCCACTTATAAAATGAAGGAGCTGGATTCATGGTGCTGAGGTCCTTCTAGCTTTAAATCCATGTTCTTAAATCTTGAATTCAAATCTTCTCTTCTACTCAATCCTAACTGTGCGACCCACCCCAGGCAACTCTCTAAGATTATAAATTGTCCAGCAGTTGTGGATCTGCATTCGTAGAGGGAGTTTCCTAAACTAATGAAATCAAGTCCAGTACAAAAAAAAAAGGTGGAAGTTAAATATGGTTTTAAAATTTGGTCAAATTTGACAACTGATGAAATCAGGTCCAGTCCATTAAAAAAAAATATAAGTTAAATAAGGCTTTTAAATTCAGTTAAATTTGACAAGCATTTATTAAGGACTAAGGTCCAGTAGAATGCAAGCTTCATGAAGGCAGGGGCAATTTGTATCTGCAGGACCTAGTTCCTAGGAGGAGCCTAGGAGGTTTTAATACTTGCTGAATTGATTCATAAGTCCCACCACAGTAAAACAAGTATACAATACTGTACTTGCCTCAAAGTGTGGTTGTGAGAAAAGTGTTTCTAGGTTTACAAAACAGAAAGATGAGCAGTTCTCTTCCTAATTAGGACTAAGATAAGTGTGTCTGAGGTCCTATCT